AATGACTCATTTGATAAAGACTCAGTTGGGTAAGAAAACTGTTCTGTGTTTCTTTAACACACACTTCACTGATAAAGAGAGAGAGTACTTGTAATTGACAGTAAGTAAATTCCATAATTAGCAGTTTCATTGTCCGTGTGCTCCTGATCCAAGAGGATGTGGTCACACCTTTGGGGTCAAATACGTCTCCTCACTGAGGTGAAGCTAAAGTCCCTTCATACTCAGTGCTGACAATCTCCTAGACCTGTAAGCTGGAGCTCTTTTAAAACCTTTAATTACACCATGCAGGGATGTCAGACTCCAGTCCTGGAGGGCCAGTGTGCTGAAACTTTTCCATGTGTCCCTGCTGCAACACACCTGAATAAAATTAGCAGGCCGACCCCTTGCTAATGACCTACTAATCTTATCCAGGTGTGTTGCAGCATGGAAACGTTGAAAGGTTTCAGGACACCGGCGCTCGAGGACGGGAGTTTGTCACCTGTGCCACAGAGCAGCGGTCCCCAACCCCCGGGCCTCGGACCGGTACCGGTCCGTTAGTCGTTTGGTACCGGGCCCTGAGAGTTGAGGCTCAGGTGTGAAATGTATGGTTTTCAGGGTTTTTATCGGTTTTATCGTTAACTCTGTTTTCCTGGGTCTTTTCACGTGTGTTATGAATAAATCCTCTTTTTTTCGGTACCGGTACTAGTTTGATTTTGTTGTATTTATCCGCGACACCTTAAAGGGCGGTCCGTGAAAATATTGTCGGGCATAAACCGGTCCGTGGCGCAAAAAAGGCTGGAGACCGCTGCCATAGAGTGTAAGAAGGAGCTTCCAGTGCCACGCTGCATTCCTCGTGATGATCAGCAGGGGGTGGCAACTCTGACTTCCTGTTGCATAGACGATATTAGGGAGATGGCTCTAAAAGCACTCACTCTGTAACTTTAATAAACATTTTCCTGCAAACTTTATGGGCTTCATCTGCAGTTAGTTTTGTTTAATAACAAATTATATTAATTTTGTGGTTTATTGTAACATCAGAGTAATACCGGAGGCTCACAGTTCGTGCTGTCTCTCAGTGATTTCTTCTATCCAAAAACCTGAGCAGCACAGCAACAAGTAGCTGACAAATGTATAAAAGATTATAAGTAAAAAAGGAGAGAAGAGTACATCAGACATTGAAATTCTTCAGTAATTCATTAAATATATGAAACAGACTATGGGAAGAGCTCCTTTAGGGAGTGAAGGTGGTCAGTGTGCATTAGTTGCTTTACGTTGCATCAACTTTTGCGTTACGCGCTGTAAATGAGCGGCTCCATTAAACATTGGTGCATGCTGCATCATAGAGGAGTACGACCACTTCGACCAGTCTCACAGCAAAATGTGAAACTGTCGCAAAAAGCAATTAGTTCTTGTTCACAGACGCACATTGTTCCTGTTTGTCATCACAGTCAGAACGAGTGTGAAACGGACGTGTTTCAACAAGAATTATTTGTTGTCTTTGAAACTTTGAAAGAACGGCAGTCTTTGTATTTTCAACCAAAGCAGGATGTTTTTCTAAAAGCACTTTTATTAGGACGGCTTTCAGTTCTGTGAGCTGCTTGAATTGCGTGTTTCTGCTGTAAGTGATGCAATGATTCACAGCACTCACTGCCCCTCCTGCTCTTCCTGGGCAGAGATGAGTGTGATGCAAACCTGTGGGGAGCAATGTTCCCTCTAAGCTGCGCGCGTGCGTAATTGCGCACTGCAGGCACGGTCTCTGCGCACAGAAAATCTGCATTGCGCACAAAAAAAAATCTAACCTGAATTGAAATTAAAATGAATACTTTAACATTTCTGTTCTGCAGTGTTAGTCAGTGAGTGACTGGCTGCTCCAGTATGGGATCAGAACGATGCCGCCTTATCCCACAGTCCAGCCAATGATGGGATTCACATTCGTATATACACAGCTAATCCACGTGATTGACAGGCTATGACAGCGTCCTTATGTGCCCACACCGGTGTTTTAGCAAAGCGGCTGATGAGGAGTGAAGCCACGTTAATGACAACGTGTACAACCATTGGAGATGTGAGCAGGACAGACGGAACAACTGACGGGAAAAGTGTGGACTTTATACCAGTTTTTAAACTGTGTTGATAGGCCACGTAAAACCAGAGTCATGATAAAAATATTTGAAATGTTTGTTTTTCTTCCTGAATACTGTCGTTGTTTATATTTACTGCGGGAAGAAACGGTAAAAACGGCGTTTTGTAAGGAAAACGCTCGAAAGCCTGTGAGCAAAGCCAAAACCAAAAAAAAAAAAAACAGCCTTTCCTATTGGTCGAAAAATGTACCATGTGGACCAATCAAAACATGGCATTTAGTTGTTAAGAAACGGGGGAAGTTTTAGGAGTGACGGTGTGTTTGAGATGTGAGAGATTTGCGACGTTTAGCACAAATCTTGTGTAGTTAGTGTGCAGTTAGTGTGTAGTCAGTGTGTAGTCAGTGTGTAGTGTAGTCAATAGTGTTGTTGTGTGTGTCAGAACAATGAGGCGACTGCTGAGTGTTACAGGTGTTACAGCAGTGACACATCTGCTGCTGTCAGGCCTGCAGGTATCAGGCTGTTGTTCTCCTTCATCTCATAGTGGACACAAATTATTTTTTGGAGCGGCACAAATAATTTGTGTGGCATCAGATTTGATGCAGAACAGCTGATTGTTCTGTAAATAGTTTGAAATGTTTGTTTAAAAAAACACCTTGAGCTTTATTGGAGTTCAGGTTATTTTTCCTTCCAATAGTGTTAACATGCTGCACAGGTCATGAACAAGATTTCTTTTAAATTTTCATTGTAAGTGGGCTAAAGCAGTTAATTAAAAGTCGTCTAACATAAATGTAAACACTGTAATTTGATTATTTTAATAAACAAGTAACTTGGATGGATTCGACGCTGGCGTGACCACAGTGCACGTCTGCTGTTGCTCACAGGGAGTTTGTGTGCTCGCTCAGACACATGAAAGATTAGAGGGAACATTGATGGGGAGCGGAGATTTGTGTCCAGAAACAAGAATGAAAGCATTTCATGTTGAATATTTCACAAACTGCTGTGAGACCGTTGGACAGACACTGTGCTCTAATACTGCAGTCATATATACACTTTGTTATTGTCCTGTTCAAATGCTCACCATTTACCAAATCAGCCAGTCACCTGCCAGCAACAGTGCAATTAAGCATCAGGATGGAGAGGGAAGCTGATTTAACTGATGGTGCTTGATGATGTCAGACGTGCTGGTCCAGTTTACTCACACAACCATCTGAAATATCGTTGAGTGTTATTTGTGACAATGTTTTGTGCATTAAAAAAAGTATTGTTAATGGAGCCGTTCACACCAACTGCGTACTTTCACAGGATGAATTACATTCTTGTTTTGTTTTTTTCAGACCTAGCTCAATTTTCTTATGGGGGGGTCGGATGAACTGAGAATCCCCATTTCTTCTTTTTCTTGTTTAAAAACATCAGGACCACCTCATCACGTGTTTTTTTTTTGTTTGTTTGTTTGTTTTGTTTTTTTGTTTTGTTTTTTTTAGGACCAACATTTTCTGAATTTCTTAGTGTTGTTATTGTTTTCATCGTTGTGCATTTCCTGTTTTACTTTGTTTGGCGCTATCTTAACTGGTTTCAGCTGTTCCTCGTTCCCCACCTTTTTCCTCTTCTCCACAGTTTCCAGATCTCAGTCCTTTGCAGCAGCAGGTTTAAAGATATCGAGCAGCTTTGGCCGTTTTTAAAGTATCTTTCAAATAAAAGTGGCATACATGCAAGTGCACCAAAACACCACACAGAGAGCACAAGTGCCACAGTCTCTCTGTTTTATGCCTGCCAGGATTTCAAAGTTCATTAACATTTCATGGTGTCAGTGTGCACTCATTAAAGATGCCGGGATGCTGTGATGATCCTATGAAATAAATTCTTAAATCACAGTCTCCTTCTATCACCTGCTCCACAAACAGCAGAGTCTGCACTGCTGGAGACTCCTCTGTATCCTGCTAAACTAAACACCAATCAGTTTATTACTCAAACTCTGCAGGGAGGTCTGAGATCAGTTAAAAGTGTTGACGTGCTGCAGAGCTCTTGAGCTCAGCCCACACCCGAAACGAGCGCTCTGCTCTCGTTTCCTCCCTCACGAAACATCTCGATGATGCACTGAACAGCTGACCCTGCAGGACACACCTGTGAGGTTCAGAGTGCCGTCCCCTCAGTGGCCCCTGGAGCCTCCACTCTGTTTCAACTCCACCACTGAGTGAAGATGAAAGGAGAGAGCAGAGGTAGACTGCAGAGAGAGAGGAAGGAGCGTCGACCAACGGGAGGAAAACTCAGACTCTGCCGTCGCTCTGTGTTCGTTTGTATTTGTATCGTCATCGCATCCTCGCTGTCTTCTGACTGTTGGGTTTTCTGTGTATCATTGTACCGTCTTTACTTGAGACGAATGTGGTTGGGCGCTATCTCAATAAAATAAAATAAAAGTATTTTGTTTTTCTTGTTTGGAAAAAAATCTCATTTCTACTTTTTTAGAAGGTTGTCAAAAATGTCATGTTTCTAAGAATAGCTGAAAACAGCATAATGTATCTGTAGGGGGGGGGAGACAGGATGTTAGTGAGGGAGTCAGGTTACCTGTCAGGCCCCCCTCACCATCCTCCCTGATCCTCAATGACTGCCATCAAGTTTCTTTCTGCTGTGAAGATTCAGTACAGCAGCTTTGACTTTCACTCAGTTAAACCTCTTCTGCATTTATTCGTCTCTCTGATGGTTTACAGTGCATTTAAAACCTCAACGAAGCAACAGAGTAGCCATCGTACTCAGTTTAGATATTTAAATGTTGCTTTCACATTAAGTCCCTGTTAATAACATATTCTCAAACAACGTGTGCGTCTTGCGGATTACGGATGAATGGCAAACATCATCGCACTTATGATGATGCTTTAAATGTCATTTTATGGATGAACGTCAGAGTCAGGGTCAGGTTTCATAACCTCAACCCTTAATTCTGTTTTAACACACAAACACCGGTTGCCTCTACGTGTCTCTAAAGCACTTCCACATCACTAACAGTTCTCTCCTAGTATACAAAAAGTTGGGATGCTGTGGAAAATGTACATAAAAACAGAATACAATGATTTGCAAATGTCACAAACCCATTTATTCACAAAAAACGAGTCAAATGATTAAACTGAGTCTTAATGAACATATGAGACTGTTTTGAATTTGATGGTATCAACACGTCTCTAAAAGTTTGGGCCGGTCCATGTTTCCTCTGTAACATCCGCCTGTGAGCTGAGGACAGCAGCTGCTGGACTTCCAGAGGACTGTTGTCCCGTTCTGGACTGATGCCCAGCAGTCCGGACTCCTCTTTGTCCCATTTTTGGTTTCAGGATGCTCCAGATGTTCTCAGCTGGCTCAGCACTCAGACTCTTCTACTCCGAAGCCAAAGAGCCATCGAATCACAGGCATCCAGTCCGGGTTTCCAGCCTCGTCTCATGCACACAGATGCTTCTCCAGACTAGTTTATGATTTAATATTTTCTGAGTTTTTTTACAATTTTATTTTGATGAATATTATTCTGAAATTGTTTCACAATTTATAAATCAAGATGCTCTTTTTATGCCCAATCATGTTGCTGACCTGCTGCCAATTAACCTGATTTGTACAACATGTTTCTCCAGCTGTTTCTTTTTTGCACCGCCTGCTTCTCCAGCCTTGTTGCTCCCATCATGGATGTTTTGAGGCATGTTGCTGCCATCGACTTCAAACTGTCTACGCTTAAACATCTGATATGTTTTCTGTGTTCTACTGTGAATAAATATGGGTTTAAACGATCGTGTCTGCACTGGGTTTGCACAGGCTTTTTGTCAGGAGGTCACATTTCCACACACATAAATTTGTTTCTATTTAAACAACCTAAAGAAAACATGAAAAAACAAACAAAATACAAAATACAGCAGCAAACAGGATGTTAAAAATATATAAATTAGGATGCTGGCATTTAAGAGTAGCTTGAGTTTCCCGCCTGTTATTTAATATCAGGCTCGATAGATCCAGCCAACGCTGGAGGGCCTCGAACCTGCGTTCTTTCTAAAGGCCAGCGGGAAAAAGAAATTGGGTCATATTTAACACGATGGGAAAATGGCTCCCCTTCTCACTTGATAAATGACTTCAGTGAAAACTTATCTGATGAGTTTATGGTCTCAATTCCTAGTTTTACATCTTACTGGACATAAAATGTTTATTTTTATAAATTATGGTCCCATAAAAAGTTAAATGGACAGTAAAGCAGGGGTATGATTTAGGGCGCATCTACTTAGTGCGTATACTGCTGTGATTTGGGAATCACAGAGTGCTCAGTTCCTCGCACTAAGAAAAAGTGCATTACAGCTCTGTTTTTCTTTTTTTATATTTATCTACGTGAAACAGGGCATTTTCGTCTCAGCAGTTGATCCCCGCTGAAAATGTTATAGTGAGAAAGAAGCTCGTCACGCCTGGTTAGCATGTCAGAAACGCTCAGTTTGAGGCTTCAGAACTGGACTTTACAAACCAGCAGGTGGTGTCACTGGACTCTCATTTAAAGAGTTTAAATGAGAAGGAAGTTTTAGTGCAATTTTAATGACTTGTTCAGGCGCAACTATTGAGTTGTTAATGGGACATTCGTCTGGAGAGACCTCAGAGCTCCAGATATCAGCCATCAGACTTGTCAAGACAACGTTTTTTCAAGCACCATCTGTCCCTTCGTGACAGGCTATAATAGGATGAACGTGGAGATTATACATTCTTTGTGCTCAGTGGTGATTTTAGCCAGTTTCAGATCAATAACCCAAATTATGAAGTTCTAAAGTCCACAACTTTAAATGAATCAGGAGCACACATCATGGAGGAATGTCCAAACATTGTGTCTGTCCTATCCGTCCTGGTGGACTTGTCCTGGTATCAGAGCATCACTCTCCAGCCCTGGAGCTGAGGTGAACGGTGTGATTGTTTCCAAGGAAATCTCTGGGTCTTCCTCATACTGGATGGTTGCGGGAAGCAGCAGCAGTCTGTTGTGGCTCGGAGAACCGTTGGAGATGATCGACTCCTCGTCAAAATGTGCGCTCATGTCCTCCAGGTGGTCCGAGCTGACGTTAATGTTGCGGGGATGCTGCTGCGGCTGAGCGGGGACCAGCGCCTCCTTGTGGAGGGTGGTGTCATGGTGGTAGGAAACCAGTTCGTTGCTTAAGTTCACCGCCTCCACCGCGTTGTTCGAGCAGACTCGGCCGCAGCCCAGGATGCTGGCGAAAGCTCGGCGGAAGTCTGCGTTGAACGCGTAGATGACCGGGTTGAGGGACGAGTTGGCCCAGCCGAACCAGACGAAGACGGTGAAGGTGGTGTCGCTGACGCACGGCGGGTCGCAGAAGGGGACGGTGCAGTTGAGGACAAAGAAGGGCAGCCAACAAAACACGAACACGCCCATGATGATTGAAAGCGTCTTCAGGACTTTGGTTTCCTTTTTGAACGAGGACTTCAGCGAGGCCTCGTCGCCGGGCCGCTGCACATGCTGCTGGTTCCTGTTCACGCCGTGGCCTTGGTGCTGCGCCTGCTCTGCCGCCCGCTCCAAAGACATGATCCGACGGATCTGGGTCTGAGCGATTCGGTAGATCCGGGTGTAGGTGGCGATCATGATCACCACTGGGATGTAAAAGCTGATAAAGGAGGAGGAGATGGCGTAGGTCTTGTTCAGGTTGGCCACACAACTCTGGGCGGCGACGTCGCTCGAGTTGAAGCTGCTCAAGTTTGTGAAGTTCTTTCCGCTGGCGGCCATTATCGCCGCCATCTCCTCCATCGCCACCTCCCGCTCCTCCTCCCCGGCCCGGTGCCAGTTGAGCTGCACGGGGATGAAGGAGATCAGAATGGACAGCGTCCACGCCACCCCGATCATGACAAACGCCACGCGATGAGTCATTTTCCGCTCGTACTTGAAGGGGCTGGAGATGGCCCAGTAGCGGTCCACGCTGATGATGCACAGGTTGAGGATGGACGCTGTGGAGCACATGATGTCAAAGGCGATCCAGACGTCACAAAAGCGTCCAAACAGCCACGTGTTGGTCACCTCAGTGATGGCCTCCCACGGCATCACGAGCACGGCCACGAACAGGTCGGACACGGCCAGAGAGATGACGAAGAAGTTGGTGACTTTGGAGCGCAGGTGGCGGAACTTTATCACGGCTGCGCACACGAGCGTGTTCCCGAGCAACGTGGACACGATGAGCAGGAAGAGCACGCAGGCGACGAGGACGCGCAGTCCGCCGATCCCTCCCCCGTCCTCTTCCCCATCCTCGTCCTCCTCCGTCCCGTCCAGCTCTGACAGAACTCGAGTGAAATTACTCCACATGGTAAAGTTCTCCATCACGCAAAGTGACAGAGCGCATTAATATCCGCGAGGAAAGCCGTTTGTCCTCCGTGCAGCTGATCCACTGAACATCCTCCGAAGGAAAAAATAAAACATAAAATAAATAAATAAAGCACTTTCCTTTTATTCTTTTGTAAGATCCGCGTCAAGAAGAAAACAGAAAAAAGGTTCCGTGAATAAATCCTCAGAATTAAATGCTAATAATAATAATAATAATAATAATAATAATAATAATAAAGATAAATGATGGGGGATCAGCAGCAGCGGTGGCTCGGATGATTCCTCCTCGGAGGGGAAGAACTCTCTGCCTCCTCGGTCTTCAGCCCCGGTGTGACTCACAGTGGACTCACCTCTCTGTGTGACGCGCTCACACTCAGTCAGGTGGAAGCGATGCGGGGCTCGTTACCTCCTCAGCGTGTGTAATAGATTACTCTCCTGCATTCCTGCTGGAACGAATCGCGGAGAGGAGCTCCGAGAACTCCCGAGCTTATCCGGGAGAATTAAACAGCTAATTAAAAATCAAAGATCAATATTACAGTAACGGAGCAAAATCACATCTGTCACACCTGAAATACATTTAACTTTTTAAATATAAGGGATTCAATTAAACGTATTATAGCTTGTAAGTATCCTCCTTATGCTTTATGCCTCATTATGTTGCCTAATAGGAAAAAAGCAGCAGTCCAGGTTCTTCATATAAGACCAAGAATGCAATAGGTTGTCAAAGTAATGGCAGGTTTGGTGTAATATATCAAAATGATTCAATGCATTTTAATGAGGTCCACAAGTAGCAACATTCAGTGTTTTAGAAAATCAGTCTGCATTTAAAAACAAATGTTGTGCTTTCATTCATTTCAAATCAATTTTCTACAAATAAAAGTAAATTTTAACGAAAAATCTGACAAATGTGTATCTCATTTTTTATGTTAAGTTTTAGCTTAAAGTGCTGCACTGCAATCAGAATGCTTCTACGGGTTTAAATTAATAAACAGTACTGTAAACAACAAAACTAATTTAAGCAAAAATAAAGGAAAATACACTAAAAGTGTTGTTACACTCTGGTTACAGACATTGCAGTAAAAATACAGTAAATGAGACTGCAGTAGAAATACCTTAAAAGATATTACAGCAATTCCCTAAAAATGGAAAATACAGCAAAGGGACCATACAGGAAAATTCCAGTAATGCTGTTAATAAAAATGGCATCATCATGAAATAAAACAGCATTTCAAAATGTCCAGACAATAAAAATGATTAAGAGGGAATCGTTTTTATTCAGGCTCCTCCTCCTCGCTTCCTCCTCTTCCTCTTTACCCCTGAACTTGTGTGTGTGAAGTGAGCCGTGAACTCAACCTTTAAGAGACATAAATGTATCATTTCTATATAAATGAAAAGGCTGAGCAAACCTGCACACACTTCTGAACTCCTCCTAAAAAATGCAGAAACTTAAAATATAAAGATCATACCTGGTGTGAAATATTCATACAGCGTATTCCAGGTTTGATGATTGAGGGTGAAGGTTTGGCACCGCAGTGACAGTCAACACATAACGAAGGAAACGTTTTCACCGGAAGGTTAATCAAACCCAGCAAAACAGTCTGAGATCACCGGCAGCTCCTTTTCTCAGTGAATCAACAGTTTTGAATGTCTCCCAGCAGCAGTTCTTCTCATTCAGCGAGTCGACACTGATGAAGCAGTTTAATGCGTCACACTGTTTAATACCAGCCAAAGTATTTCACATAAAATTTGTTTGTGACTTTTTAATTTCACTACAACAGAAACTTACTTTAGTGCAGCTCAAAATGCTTCAGCTGTGAATAAAATGTAAAATAAGCAAGAAAATCATTTAAACATGCTGAGCTGCTTAGAATGAAAAGACTAAATAATAATAATAAAACTAAACAAATATTAACAAAAGCCTGTAAGTACACAAGCAGTGTCTCAAATAATGAAATGCTGGGTAAAGTCAATGAAAAACACAAAACAAAGTCAAATAAAATAACTTATAAGTACAATAACAATAAAATATTCTTTCTTTTTCCCCACAGTGAAGGTGTTCCTGCTTCAGCCCAAAAAAATGAAAGACGACTTACACCAAAAGTGCGTGTCACCTTCCTAAAGACAAAATAATATAAGATGTTGGGGATTCATTTCTTTAAAGCACGTAGAAACTTTTGGTTAAACACGATCAACTTCAAACAAATAGCTTCAATTAGATTTTTAGGGTCTAGAATTACTTAACTTTCAACTCAGGCTCCATGACTGTGGTGCTAAAGTCATATTCTGGGGTCTGATCATTCTCAGTGAAATTAACAAAGAAAAGATACAATTAATGCCATCTGCTGTTTCCACTGCAGACGATTCAATTCAATTCAATTTTACTTGTGTAAAGCACAAATGTGACCACAAGAGGGCACCACCTGCCCGCTTTTGTGACTCAAATAAAAACACAAAGAAGTTTATTTTGAGCGTTCACAATCATTCATGTTTGGGACATTCACAGTTAGTATGTGTACCTGCACATACCTGTGGTGCATTCAGGGAACAACCCTGAATGCATGACCCTGAATGCACCACAAAGACAGACGGCAGAAAGCTCAGCCACTTTTTTCACATATGTACAGATACGTCTGCCCAACACTGTGCCTTTCACTGGAGATACAAGAAATCCTTCAGTTCGACCAGAAACAACCCAAATCTGGAAACCAGGCCTTCAATGAGACGCCCATAATCGGGATCAATTAACCCGATCAATTAGAATCATGATATGTTTTGTTCCCAAGGAAATAATTTATCTGAGGATTTGAATGATATGAAGCTGATTTGGCCCCATGGTCACTGCTGCCCTTCACTATTCCCTCTCCCATCTGGAAAACAAAGACTCATACATGAGGGTATGAGGAGTTTGTCGGTCCGTCAGGATAAGCAACAGGACTTCAGCCAGCATTATTACAAACACTGGCGTCCTACAGGGTTGCGTCCTCAGTCCCATCCTCTACACTCTGATTCTACTACAGCAATTTTGCATGAGTCACAGCTACACCGCACTACAGGTGTAGCTGAGGAGGAAGAGCATGTCATCTACTAAACAAAGGGTTGGTGGTTCAATACCTGGCTGCTCCAGTCTGTATGCCAAAGAGATACTAACCCCAAGCAGCACCCCATCACAGTCTGAATGTGTGTGAATGTTAGATGAAAAGCACTTGAGCATAGAAAGAGGCTGTGAATGAGGCACATTGTGTAAAGTGTTTTAAGTTCTCTGGGAGAGGAGGAAAGTGCTATATAGGAATCAGGCCATTTACCCTTTCAAAGGAAAAGGAGTCCAAATAAAATAAATTCAAAACCTCTAAGACAAATCAAAAACCCTGGAACCTAAACCAGCGATCATAACAGGCAAACAGCATAAATGATACAGTATACTGTATCATATGTGTTGGTTCAACAGTTCAGCATTCACGAGGATTTTCGAAGGTCTGACAGCATCATCTGTCTGTCAGCTGCCTGTTTCATTGGTAACAAGTAACATGAAGTCATTATGCCACTTATCCATTCTGAATGTGTTTAAATTAATTGTAATAATTTATAATCCCACTGCATCAGGGACAACTTCACACATTTTGTAAATGGCCTGTATTTGTATAGCGCTTTACTAGTCCCTAAGGACCCCAAAGCGCTTTACACATTCAGTCATCCACACATTCACACACATTTACAGGAACACACGACAGGACGCAGGCAAGGAGGCTTTGTTCTTTCATGTCTGAATAGAAAACCAGAAAAACCATCTATTCTTTTCTTATTGTAAATATCAAATTCACCCGGAACAATCACTGCAGTCACTCTGTGGATGAACTGAAATGCACATATTTACGTTTATAGCCTACTGTGTGTCAAAATAAACATTTATTTACATAAATAAGTCTATTTACATACACATTCTTTTCAAAGAAAGCACATGGGAAAGACACGGAGCACATTTCTTTCCTATGTGGAAACTGCTCTGATCGGTCAGACACCTCCCCGTAGAGCCTGTGTGTGTGTGTGTGTGTGTGTGTGTGTGTGTGTGTGTGTGTGTGTGTGGTTCTCGGGGTTGCTGTCAAATTGTCGCTGTTTTTCTTTAAGACTAATTT